AATTAATTTCTCAGTTCCATCATTTAACTCTAGAAGTCGGCCAACTTTTTATATATCTAAGCACAGAACACTTTATGGCTTTTTTTCCCCCATTAATAGAGCTTTGGTTTCATGGAATAATTTACACAAGGACATTGACTTTTTTCATTCTTCTCAACTAGCAATACGAGTTAGTATTTTATCATTCTAATTTTGTTTTTGTCATTAACTTTCTCAAGGTATTTATATAATTGTTCATCTCTTTTATAATTAGGATAAACTTCAACAGCTACCCATTGATAAATCTTATTATTAAGTAAAATTATGTTATTGTTATAATGATTTAACGTTTTAGTATAATCTTTAGTTTTTAATATTACCATTATAATTCCACTTTTTCATGTTATTATAAATAATTATTACTGTACTCTGAGCCTTCGGGCGTATATTTCAATAAATAAATAAATAATAAATAAATAAATAAATAAATATCAAAGCGATTAAGATTGTAGTGTGTTAGTAACTGTGAGTGAAATTAAAATTTGGCAACAAAAATGTACAGGAACTAAAGATTTACCAAAAAAATGCTATCGACGCTCTTAAAACATATCAATTTTCCTTTCTACTTTCAAACTTTTACAGATTTTAGCAACTTTCCCAGTTACAACTGCTAACAGTGAATGATCTTTTTCAATATTAAAAAGATTTAAAACACATTTACGAAACAACACATGTGAAAATAGGTTGAATGGTAGGGTGACCATATTTATGAAAAAAAAAAATGGAACAAATATGTTCATAATAATATATAAAATACCACATTTTTTTAACTTCTATATTATATGCAATAAAAATAATTTTTATGTAGTTTAATATTTTAATACAACATTGATTTGAATTTTTTTTTGCTATGAGATTGAAAAAAATTACTTAAAATATTCTTTATTTTTATTGAATTGATGTCGATTGTTCATAATTTTCTTCATTACATCCTTTGACATTATATTTTTTTAATGAACTGATTGAATTTAATAGTTTTGGTTGTGTTAACAAAAAATCATAAAAATAATTACAGGAATATTTTTTTTAAATTATTTTTAAGAATTATTATTGCTTGACAGATGGTACGAGAAAACAATTTTTTTCGTCTATTCATAAAATATTTATGATTGAGAATATTCTTTCTAATGCTGCATTAGTTAATCTGTAAAAGTACAGTGAACGTATATTTCCTTTTAGGCAATAAAAAAAAACAATAAGAGTAATAACACTAATGGCTCACAACAATTTAAATAAAAAAGAATTGATACACAGTGGCTGTAACATTAATAACACAAGATCGTTGCAATGTACACACGTTACTGCACGACTATATTCGATTTTTCTATACCTAATATACCTATTATACCGAATATCGTTGATTATAAATAGTACTATATATTGGTAAACTATTCGTATTTAATATCGATTTCGTTAAATGAGTTCGTAGTACATATACTGTGTATATATACATGACGTATGGTCACCTATTGAATGGCAATTATGAATATACACAGTGATATAATGATAAACCCTGATTATGTCCTAAATCAATTAGCGACCAAAACAAGAAAACTACGGTTGATGTAAATGTTAATGTAATTAAAATATTGTTTGACTTTAAATGCTTTAAATAAAACACAAGAAAATTTAAAATAATATGTTTTGTGTATACCTACCTATTGTATAGACCTAAACCGTAACTCCCCCACCCATGAAAAATCCTGGCTATGCTACTGTTTATATTAATATTAGGTACAAAGTTACAAGAGTTTATTTAATAAAAAAAAAAAAATTAAAATGTTTATTGATATTTTCTATACCTAATGCCTCGCCTGAAACATTTTTTAAATTTTTTGTTTAGTATTTATTTTGTTCAAATAATAAAACAAACTTAAATATATATATTTTCGGGTTCCTTATTCATCTTTAGTATTTAGAATTTGATTAAAAATACCGAAAAATGAACTAAAAAGAGGAATATGAGCTAAATATGCACAAAAATTACTTAAAAACATTAAAAACGTCAAAATATACAAAAAAAAATTCAAAATAATGCAAATTAAAAGTTACATAGATTCTTAGTTACATAATTCAAATTTTGTATCTACAAAGCTACGTTTTACAATCACCAAAAAACAAATGCATTTTCCTACAAAATTCACAGCCCTACTAATAAGTAATAATTATGTAAGTTTATAATATTTACTGCTTCGATTAATCTATGGAATTTAAATTTAAATATTGATATACGTATAACGAAAAAGATCCGTATTTTTATTTTATAATTTACCACGCGATGGTTAAAATTATAAAATATCAATATACAATTTATTTTGGGAGGGGAAAGTATTACAATCCAAATAAATCTTATAAAACAAACTTTTCAGTATGTTTGGGCAGTAGATAAAATTCTTAGAATAAGCCCTGACTTCGTCAGTTTTTTCTCAGTTATTTGGAAAACGATCAAGTATTTCAAAAAACTAACTTACAAAAGTATCAACAAGATTAATCTTGTTAATTAATCTTTGTTATTAAAAAATCATCTGTCCTTTTGATGATCAGAGCAGGTTATTTGGTTGAAATTATTTAAACAGACACAAAAAAAACAGACGAAATTCTTAGGTCGAGTGAAATACAGGAACGGGTTAATGATATTGATCTATTAGTATATAAAACTTAAAACTAATAAATAATTATTTTCGAAAAATTAATTCTAAATGAAAGAGTTCAGATGTATCAGTTTACATTTCTAAAGATGGTTGATATAGAAATATATTTTGTCGAACTTTAACTTTTCAAACTTACGCAAAAAAAGTCATCTAGGTAGGGAAATTTAAGTATATTAGAATTTTATTATGTTTTTCGTATAAAAAAACTATAGTTGATTAAAATTTGAGAAAAATCGAAAATTTCAAGTGCCAATAAACAGTATAAATTTTATTAAAATTATTCTAAACTATGAAATGTTTTTAAAATACTAATATACTAATAGATAAATATTTTGAGTCACTATAGTTAATATTAGAATAACAACCAAATAATTAATTAAGTATAAGTAGAATTCGTTGAAATATTTAAATTCATCAATATTTCATTTTCAAACGTTTAAAAAACTTTTTAGTGACATTCCGGAGCAAAGTTCAATAGTTTAAAAGTTAATACATTTTTTTTAACATTAAAAAACATTTTATTTTATAACTATTAAAAGTTATTTAAAAAATAAATTTATATTCAATTTCAAAAATTTTATGTAAAAGCAAAATTATTTTATCAATATTCAACAAAAAAATAGCCAAGAAATCATGATACTTTAATATACCTAACTATAAATAGCACGAAAAAAGTCTAAATATTTTGAAAACTATACTATTTGTAGCGAACTGTGAATAAACATTCAGTTGACAATTTCAAGTATCTACAATTATTATTTATTGAGTTATAATTAAAACTAAAATTCGATTGCATTGAAAACCAGTTTTTGCAATTTTTAAGAAAACTAGGGTATGGTGAACATTTATTAACCATGATGCACAACACTTATTTTAGTACCTAATAGGTGAGAATTCAAGGGGGTGTTAGAGGTATAACCCTAAAACCCCCCAAAAATAACAGAAATAAATGTTATAAAAATGACTCGATCTACAAATTTAATAGTTATTTTAATTTCCCATGAGAAATAAAATATACAAATATTTATATTATATAATGAGTAATAATGCTATTTATCAATATTTTAGATTTTTTCAAAGCACATCTATACCCAGTATATCCCTGCCTATGAACACTTGGAACCATGTATGTTCATGTGTGCTCAATTAGATATTTTATTATTTGATAATGAAATGATTACTAATGAAACATAAAGAAAAAGTTTATGCCTTACATAAATGCTTCAATATGTGATAATTTCTTACAAAATCATACTGGTAGGTATCAGTGACGTATTTTCAAATTACTCATTTTTTTTTTCTTTTGGGGGGAGGGGTTTAAAAATTTTCTAAACAATTAGCAATTATATAAAACATATATAAGGTATGAATTAGTAATTATATTATTCGATTAATATTATGAATATAAATGAAGTTATTTACAACCATATGAAATATTATTTGTGTTCTCTTTCTCTGTACCTTCATTAAACCTTCATTTATGACTTGAAACTTTTTTCTTCTGGAAGGCGTCGAGACCCCCCTCCCTTCCTCCAAAAATACATCACTAATTTGTTAATATATTTTGTAATTTATTTGTTATTGTAATTTTAATTTTATGTAGTCTATTTTTTAATAATAATGTAATTTTAATAAATTAATAAAATAACAAATTTTCGTACTTCTGATAAAGATGTAAAATTGCATTACCTTACCTGCACAAGTATTTAGGTATTTAATAATTTTAACAATTTAGTAATGATCCAAACAGCCTTTGAGAGGAAAAATCATGAAACTTTCAAACTACATTTTATATTTTTCTGATAAGAATTTTCAACTCAGTTTTTAAACCTAGTAGACAATCTATCCTGCAAGACTATTTATGTTAGCCCTTTCAGGGCTTTCGGAGGTTTGCATTAAGCGCACGCCCTACAGCCTCGTTGCATATGCTTATTGCTTAAATTGCATACGCTAACCCAGAGCACAAGAATGATTGACACTCAAATACTCAGTCGAATCACACATATTCTAAATAATAGGGACTAAAATAGTGTGCAGTACGACACACTTTGTGTGCAATACGTAATATTAGGTGTGCAGTAAGAAAAAGTATATATTTTAGTCTCTATTAGAAATTAGTACAAAATAGTAATATCAGCATTTTCTCTACATAGCATAACTTTAGTGCACGCGAGTGCAACAGTAATAATCAAAAAATTACGTAAAAGCTAAAAGTTCAAAAATACTTTAAAACAATTTTTAAAGTGTACAAGGCACCAAAACAAATCATGTTTTCGACATAAGTACCTAGAAAACTTCACACACACTTACTTCTTTTTTCACATTTTTGATAAGCTGCTCCTTAAACTTTTTACCTGGAAAAAATAAAATAAAAATATTTATACTTCCATATGTTAGCGAAACTCTACCGCAGTTTTAGTGGTGTAAACACACGCGCATGTAAATTACACAAAATTATTATGTAAACGTCTTAGACAAATTGAGCATGACAATCGATACTATATGTACTCGAAAGGTGATTGAACATTCTAATAATAATAATGTAAAATATATAATAGTATCATGATGTTCAACCGAAGGACCACCATATGTCAAGTAAACGTACTGGCTATGCTCGTGTCCATGGTGACAAATTAACCGGAAAAAGAGACGATGATCGTGGCGGTTTACGGCATTCAGCGAACAAAGACGAACTACTGTTCAGCGGGGCACGAGTAGCGATAAAATTATATTACTGTATAAACAAATATTTGTAATTGACTGCACATTAAGTCACAAGTCATGTGTCGCGTACAGCGTGCGTCTACAAAAATACCTATGCCCCCGTGATCAGTGCTCGGTTATTATACCGCGGTTTCGAATCCGTCGCGATCAACACCTAGGTATTGGTTTTCTTCTCAATACTAATTAATTTTTTTTTACTTTTTATTCGACGGATCGTGACCGATAACCCCCCCCCTCGACCACCGGGACCAACGAATCTACCACACCGCGCACAACATATCGGACGACTGTGACACCGAACACAAACGACAACGACACTGCCACGATCGCGGCATACGGACAACTCACTCACGGCACCCGGTCTAGAATGGACCGCAACGACGACGATACGGTGTGACGGTGGGGGAGACGCAGTGGCCTGCCTGTGATAATAATACTCTCGTCTATTGACAAGGGCCAGCTGATTCATACGATTTTGCAAACGATGACGACGGATTTTCAGTGAATTCGATCGAATTGGCACGCGCCTGCGCCTAAACCATTTGACCAGCTGCCACCTCAGTCGTCAGCCTTACAATATTAATTCTCTGCGCGGCTGCACTGTCGGCTAGGTTCTTCTCGAATTGGTTTTTTCTCACTTTTTTCCACAATATTTTAAGGTTGGTTTTTGATGTTAGAGAATTTTGTTATTTTATTTAAATATTTTTTTGCAATTTTCAAAACACCTCGAATTATTTAAATTTCTTCTATGTTTTATAATTTATATATCTATAACTGCATACAAATTATCATATCGATTTCATTTCATAACTGATGTATTCGATTTTTTCATATTATGCATTCACAGTTAACATTTTCCTTGTGATTTAAGTGTTGTAACTGAACGTTAAATCATTTTACGATGTCTTATATACATCTATATTGAGAACCAAGTAAATTTATGTCTAACATTTTGTTTGTAGTTAATTTATTTATATTATTTGAGTTGCTAACAATTTATTTAATAGTTTTTAATCCATCATTTAAGTGCAATAATGACATCGTCAGAAGATGTGCTCCTTCAAGTGGGGCCAGTGCGGCATAAGAAAGGTGATGGGACATTATATGTAATGAGTCAACATGTTGCATTTATTCTAAATTCTAGTGACACTGTTGCTATAAGTCATCATTATAGAGATATAAAAATGCAAAAAATATCATCAGAGTTTAAAAACAAAGTGCAATTACAGTTGGTGTTTCATGATGAAACAATTTCACTGTTTCAATTTACAAATTCTGAAAGGTACCGTTTCTTAAAAATCAATCAATTTTTTTTATTTGACTATAATTTTTATTTACTTTTATTAGGAGTGAAGCAATGCGAGATAGAAATAGAGTTAAAGACTTAATACAACAACTACTGCCAAAATATCAAAAACAAGCAAACAAAGAATTTGGAGAAAAGAGCCGTATTCTTGGTGAAAACCGTATGCTTTTTCAATTGTATCAAGATCTAGTCATAACCCATGTCATAACATCTGAAGAATTTTGGTCACAACATGTCCCTTACCATTTAGCTACACAATCCAAAGTAATTACTCAAAAAACGGGTGTACCTAATAATTTTCTTACTAATGTTACTGTCAAAAGTGATGGTACAAAAAAATTTAATTTATCTAATGATACTATACAATGTATCTTTAAAACATATCCAGCAGTTCGACAAAAGCATATAGAATATGTACCACATCAGTTAACAGAGTCTGCATTTTGGCAAAAGTTCCTAGAATCGCATTACTTTCATAAAGATCGTATAACTACAGGTAGTACTAAAGATTTATTTAATGACTGTGCCAAGTTGGATGATAATTTATTTAAAAATGAAATAAAAGATTTATCTAAAAATAGTTTAGATTGTTATGTTGGAATGATTGAAGATGATGGATCTGATGATAATATAAATTCTACAGCTGAAGAAAAATCTTCTATGGCTAACATTGTTCATGAAAATATAATTAAACGATTTAATCAACATTCAATGATGGTTCTCAAAACATGTGAAAAATCTAATTCCAATTCTATATCGAATGGAAATGATATAAAAGTGCCATCTAATTCATCTCATACTAATGGTACACCGGACAATGCATTGAAAAGATTAAAAATTCAAGAAAAAATTGGTTTTGAAGATTTAAATCCAGAAACAGAAATTATAGACATAAATCAAAAAAGATTAAAATTATCTAGAGTAGAAAGTTACGTTAATTGTTTAACAAGAGAACAAAAACATGATAATACTAGTTCTAAACTCTCCAAAGCCAGAGAAGTACAGAAAAGTATTATTTATGATGTGTATGAGTGGAGTAAATCAACTTCAAATCAAGTAATTGAACCTAGTGCTGCAGTTAATACTCTTGGACTGCTTACACCTGGTGGAAGTTTGATGAAAGGAATTAGTGACGAGTCAGCTTCATTAGCACAGTTAGTGCC